CAGAGAAGCCTAGACGACTCGTATTGGAACGGCTAGTGGACTTAGCCGGCAGACAAGAACTCGCAACTGATAAAGCAGACGTAACGCGTAAACGCCGCACAACTGTACCGAGACCCGAAGAAAGAAGAATCGACGATAGTAAGAGTGCGTTTACCGACAACCAAGACAATCGTGCTTCCTACACCTTCATATTTATAGTTTAGTAAAACAGTAGTAGTTGCACAAACTATAATGGAAGGCGTATGTTTGCTGGCCTATGAGTTGTCATGTAGTTGTCCTATATTCAGGCAGAAACGGGTGGGTTCGATGCTACTGAGACGTCGGGCACATCACAGTTGCTGAGTGTGCTCGATGGCTGTCATTGGCACGAACATAGCTCAGGAGGCAGACTGCTGACATGAGGAGTCCGGAAGATAGGATAGTGAGACTGGGGCGAGTTCAGAAAGGAATATGTTGGCCGTGTTCTCACTAGGGACAACTCCGTTGTGATCTGCACGGAGGAGTGAACCCTTGGTGGCAGTTTCCGTAGGGAGAGCTCCGCTATGAATTGTGTTCTTTACGCCTCTGCATAGCAACCGTGTTGTTCGGGCCCGATAGTGTACTGTTGTCGATGAAACTCGGGTGTTTCGCAAGGCTGTGCCAGCCCTGTAGTAGTTACTGAACACTGCAGTGGTAGCACCATCTGTCGGATTACGTGAAGAAAACTGTGTAATCGTAGTTGGCAAGTTGCGTGAGCGAAATAAACGCGCGACCGGTAGACGTGAAAGGCAATCAGTGCAGCGAGCGCAACTTGATCACGCTTACATGGGAAGAGGGAACAGTGGATAAATGGGTTGCAGCGTTGTGAATCAGGCAAGCATTTGGCCCCGCAGATAGGCAAGTGAGATGTCCGCACGCGACACTGACCCGGAGTGATGACAGATGGTAGACCAAGCGAGCGGAACAGCCAATCAGCGCCGCCGGCACCAACTGCTCACATTTGTAAGAAATGAGTGAACCCACCCGAATGGATTTGGGTATTGTGAACAAAGAGCAACTTTGTTCCATTCAAGTGGTCCAAACAGCTAATAAAAAATTAAAAAATAATGTGTCAGCTGTACGCCGTAACAGCGCTTCGCTGCCGCGCGACCACCACCAGTCGCGCGCGGGCGGAGTATACCGCGAGGACGCCCACCCCTACGCGGATTCGAACCGGTGACCTTATGACTGCAAAGCAAACGTGCAGACCATTGGGCCACCGCCCGACAGCTACAGATGAGCGCGATCCAATGAATCCAGATAGATGAGTAGCAAGGATCAGCCAAGTGCGTTTTCAACTAGTGATTAAAATATGTGGTTAGGGGCATCCGGTCCCGGATTTGCATGTCACTGTGATCTCCATAGCACAGCCACAGGACACTTGCACCTATAAAGGGACCATGGGTGGTTTGTGCTGCACCACCCACAGCTCCAACCACACACCCCATATCCAGTGTAAACCCGAAGGAATAAGACCGGGATGCAAGCGGAAGGGAGTCACATTTCACCAACAGAGCTGGCCCACATTCCTTCCCAGACAAACACAAGCACGCTGTATTTGGGAGTCAATCGCACACAAGGCGGTGGCCGGACCGTAAACCGCTCCACACTGAGTGCATGGAACCACTCATCGAGGCTAGCACGGAGGGAGGGACCATGTACTCCGACCCAAGGCAAGGATAAATAGTCTCCAGGAGCTAGTAATCGAGGTGGAGATTAATAGACAGATAGGCACCTTGTCAACATGCACATCTATCGCAGCCATACCGGGGATGTCAAACAACAGCCAATCACTTGCAATGACAATGGCAAGTAATATATAGCGAATAAAGTATACGGATATACAGACTTAACCCTTTACTAAATTAGCATATGAAATAAATTAGTTATCAACAATCCGCGATAAGTTCAAAGTATCAGAAACAGATATTTTTAAAATGTCACAAAGATGAAAAGTTAACGAATAGAACCACCCAGTAGAACGTGTAGTCAGCACCTGCTTCATGCAACTTACCTTGCTCAGCGAGCCGAGTCTCACTGAGCGCCGCAATATCTATGTGGTAGCGCGCCAGTTCTATCGCGATGAGTGCAGTGCCTCACTCGGGGTGCTCACTCGAGTTCCGGTCCAGTAATGTGCGCACGTTCCAGCACCCGATGCTGAGTGCTTTGCGCACAGGCATACGATTGTATTGGTGGGTAATCGCACGTGTGGTGGCAGTTTTGCTTCGGAGGTTCGCTTGAGGGAGTCCACCCGGAGCCTTTGGCTCAATAGCCTGATCCACAAGGTAGTGGAAGATTTGGAAATTTGCTTGATGGACTCCGCTCGGAGCCTTTGGCTCAATAGCCTGAGCCGCAAGGCAGTGGGGAGCAGATCCAGCTCGGGAATGTGATTGCGGAGACAGGTTGGGATCTGCTTGACGGCCGTCACACGCAGCCTTGGAGGTACTGGAACAATTCATATGTGTTTTGCGACCGTAGTCAGATACGCACCTGCGACCACGGACAGACCCGGGAGGGTGGCGAGTTTGCACCAATTTGACCAGGGGCTGCCTGGCTTGAGGCGGGCAGTAGCAAATCATTGAACACTCGGAGGTGCCTTCCCACCGTCAGAAACAATGCGTAGCGCTCGTGCTCTACGCCAATCGAGCTGTGAGCTTATAACCCGTAGACCAGTTGTCTCCCATGGATAGGATTTAAGGGAAGAGGGCCATCGACCACTTCCTAACCTCCGAAAAGGATAGATTAAGATACTGGCAGGGCACCCACACTTGAGAGGAGAACGACTCGGGTCTTCAGCCAAAGTCTTCGATTAAATGTACACCCGAAAGGTAGCGGACCAAGCAGATGGTCAGTTCACTGACTCATGTGGATTGGTGTTCTGGATCTTAGGAAGTAGAAGGGCGTAACCCAACTACCACCCAGCAGTCGTCAGGAAGAGTCCAGGACATGAGCCCAAGGCAAAACAGTAGCAATAGTGAGTAGACCATCTTTCAGGATCTATCCACCACAAGACTCAGCGTACCATGGGTTCTTCCGCCAGCATAAAAGGACACTTCGTTCTTTAACAACCGCTTCAGGATCGCTGAACAGTCAAGGTTTTGATTCTCGGAGGGCAACTTCGACACCTTGCGTTGACTACGCACCGCGTTCAGCGGCAAAAGGTTTAATGGACAACCGAACCTTTCCAAGTAGAAAATAAACAAATGTATGCACTTATAACTCACTTCGTATTCGAATATCATTATGACCACCATGCGGTTGCTCAACTCATCCTGTCCCTCAAGTACGAGATTCATCCCCGGTGATGCGAGACGGTTTTATGAATTTACACGGGGTATGCGGGTTCTGTACAAACCATGATATGGTGCATGAATCCAAGTTCGTCCCTACTACCTAAAAATGTATCGTGTGTATACAGTCGCAAGCACACCAGTTAGGGCCACCATGAAATCTCAGCTATTACAGCAAGCGAAAAATTTACAAGCACAGGACTCGCACATTCTAGGTAGAGAAAGTTTGATCAGCAACTTTGCCCCATTGCTCCAAAGTTGCGGAATTAGGCTGAACCGAGATTGAAGTTTACAAGTTTCTAAGACCGATTTGTGCGAGATGGTGGACTAGTTGAGACACAGGCGTTATGCACAACCAAAGTTTGCAACGCGACGTAACCACGAAGTTTATGTGACAATGAACGGGTGACTAGTCCGCGAATCGTTATCAAGGTGATTGCAGTGTAGTGACTTAAGTCTTATGACCAAGTTAATGTACCCCACTAGCCAATGATATAAAGAGCCAGTCACGCTAGTATTAGTCGAAAACAGCCGCTGAAGTCATTAATATGAAAGACTGACAAGAATCATCTGAAAAGCATGTGTTATGCTACGGAATGTGGATAACCGCACACTCCCATTTCTCCGGATAAAGCTATTGAAGATCAAGAGCTAGCAACGGTGAAGCAAATACTGCAGAGGAATGACAGCAAACGCCAAAAAGATGCACAGATTACGGGCAACTTCAGAAACACCCTACATCAAGACGTTAGAAAGCACTGCCATCGGTTATCGCTGCCGAAGTAACATGGCAAACTGCAAGTCGATTCCATATAATTATCAAGCTCTTACGCATAACTGGTCGTTATTTCTGGGATGCGAAGACCGTTGCCGAAACCATATTACATATGTTCAATGTTAGTACGTTTTTCGACGTCAAAGCCCATGATATTTCCAGTTTCTATCGATATGGCTCACTTGCACAAAAGTGGCAATTGTTGTAGTTGTGCAGGAAATGGCCAGCTGAAATAAATACGATGGTACCGTCATCAATACATAGAAAAACGACGTTGACTGGATTGGGATATCATAGAAACAATCTTGTTAAGAGTCCGTAAGCGTGGCTCGGCAAAGATTTAGTGTCAGAAACGGGGGGGCTATATCGTGAATTGCAGGTGCATGGTTGGGAAGAGTAAAACAAATAAACCATCGCCGTGAGTCCGCTGAATATGTAAACGAAGCGGCTGAAAGGTTACCTCGGCTTATCGCATCGAGCAGAAACGTCTACCCAAGGGGTGGATAAGCACATACATCGAATTTTCACTAACTAAACCCCGAGAAGGTCCAAGAAAACGGTAAATTCCGTGAGGTTGCGGTATTCCAAAGCAAAGGAAACATCGAACGCGCAAAATACTGAGGCGAGTGGGTCTCAGAAGCACAACCTAAGGTGCTGGGAAGTCATCCGGCAATATGTCTAACAAACGTTGCGTATAAGTGCTGTTAGTTATGGCAAACCGAAGGCGGTAGACTAACTTAGTTAATAGAAATCTGCTCATACCGCGTTACACATTGAGAAGAATTGTGCTTAACTTAAAAATGGTTCACGTAAGAACGGTAATCACTAATAGCTAGGAAAGGGGTTACGGACGACATATAGTTATTGGCTAACAGTCGCATTCATTTAGTTAAACGATAATAAAGTTAAGTTTTAATCCGCGGAGGTGAAGTTACACCCGGTGATAACAGAAAACCCTGTGGTCCAAATGTGAGGGTGAAGAAGTTTGTCGCCCAAAGCGTCTAAGAAAATGAGCGACTGGATGCAAATGTACTGTCGTGAAATGCATTTAAAGAAAGAAACGAAAGGACAAACAGATAGTCGGTATTTAAGTGACGTCAAAGGGAAGTAGATGACTGTCAGTTGGCGCATGAGGAAGTAGGTGGCTCAAGGAGTATGTAAAATAAGGCAGATCTTCTGGTGCATAAGTGTGAATTACAGTGCGAATAGCGAACAGTGTCGCTATCAATATAATCTGGGAAGAGCTGTGGCCGAATTCTTGCGTAAAGTAAATGCAGAGAACGAAAACAAGGATCGAGGTGCAGTTAATAATATAGAACTGCGTATGTGAAGTAGAGCACCGAAAACATCAAAAATGCGCGGAGTGTGGAAGATTGACAAGAGAGGAAATAGAGAATGAAACGGGGGAATGCTGTGACCAGATAACGGTGAATGTGAACCCCAGGTAAAGGGCTACTTCAGTAGCTTGTGGGCTTGTTCGTTAGCCTTCTTGATGCGTTCGGCATTGGACTTTGCCTGGAACAGTAATGCGCGAGAACAAAAGTTAGAAAACGAACATAAGGGAACGAATTAATAAGACATGATGACTATGTGGTCCGGAGAAATAAACACAGCGTGAGGATTTTGAAGCCCATTTCAACAACCATTAGTATCCAAATGAAACGATGGAAAACGATACGCCAGTAGGGTAAATTAATGTGGGGGTGGCTAGTTGATTCCATGAAAAAGTTCTATACTGCGAAGATATGCACAGAGTTGAACATGAAGGTACAAAATGGATGAGTTCGCTGACTGAGCACCGCAAGATGGCGTCTTTTCGTGTTATCTGATCACATGTAAAATAACAACATATATAGATCACGTGAGAGAAGAAAACGATTGTTTTGAATCGGTCAGAAAAAGGCAATCAGACACAACACAACAGATGGATGAGCTGGAGCAAAGGTCTTGAATCCCATGGAAGCTTAAGAGTTATTGTCGGCTGCTTTTGTAAATAATGTGTAGGACAGCACCGATTAAGAGTCAGGTGATCAATGTATGTTGTTAGTTTGCATGTGATCAGATAACATGAAATGGTGCCACCTTGTAGTGCTCGTCTCGGTATTGTTTTGTTCGAACTGATGCGGAGAACTCAATGCTTTACCTTTCTGAGATGAAGACCCCCTCCAGACACTAGTAAACACCTTGACAGACTAATAACCCAGAAATGCAAGATTCTCACACTCTTATCTGAGCGCAAACGTAACACCCGATATCCTCGACAGTTTTCTAAGTTGCAATGTCGGAATCAACCGAAGCCCATCAACACGGATCTGAAGCGACTAGCCAACGTCTATTTGGAGGAGTCTGCCAGAACTTTTTCACAACTGATGGAAACATCAAAGCCGAGTGGCAATCACCGATCAAATCTCATCGGTTTTCTGTATAAAGTTCATGAAGTTTTGCAAAACCGTCGTCGACAGAACAAAAAGGGAACTATCCAAGGTACATCGGAGATCTGTTGAGAATGCAGAAGAGAAACCCATTTTTTGGTGACTTACAGAGGCATGTGTACGACTCGTCGTCAGTACTCTTGGACAGAAAACAACTGAAGCTTTCTAATGGGCATGAACTGCAAAAGTCCTCCCAAAAAGGTATGCCTAATTCGTGTTGATGCCCAATTCGAAAACCTAATCGATCAACTGTTTAACCTGAACCCGACGACCCGGGAACACTACAACCGGATCGAAGTTAAGGTTTTCGACATCGTGCACCGTTACATAATGGCTCCGACTGACCAACAATGCTGTCTAGGTAAGTCATATTAAAGCCTTATATTATCAGGTCTTAAAACCAGACAAGAGTACAGGAGCTGTTGTTATGGATAAGTCATATTATTAAAACAAGATGTATGATATCCTGAAGGATAAATCCAAATTTCAGGAGGACAAAAGCGGAACCACGGTAACGCAAGTTGACCAACCAAGTAAAAGTGTCATTTCAGCATCGTATGATATCAGAAACGGTGTACAACACTATTTAGACAATGGGAACATGCACTCTTCAAATGTACGGACTGCCAAAGATCCACAAGGCTAACACACCATTAAGGCCGATACTCTTCATGTGCAACTTCCCCGTACCACAAGTTGGAACGTTGGCTAGTCGCCATGTTCGCACCAGTGAGACAAATGATAGCGACCTACATCGTAAAAGACACTTGATCTGATTGACTGTGTGCAGAAATATTGCCGACAAGGTTGTGTGTTCTATGGACGCAGAATATTTGTTCCCCAATATCCCATTAAAAGAAACAGTACATTTCTTGCGCGAGTTTACCACGAACAGAACAGTAGCCTTGGCAATTCCAGTTGAATATCCCAGGGACTTAGTGCTATTATGTACAGAAAATGTGCATTTCGTATTCGAGGAGCAAGCATATCGACAGGTAGATGGTGTGGCGATGGGAACTCCGCTTGGCTCGGTACTGGCTGACATCTTTATGGCAATGGTCGAAGCGAGGTGTGAATTCTACCTAAACCAGATGTGTTTATGCAGGCGGTATGTGGATGTCGGCTCAGTGTGCTCAACAACGTACATCTCAACGACCGTTTCACCTGTGAACTAGAAGACAGTCCTGCTTTTCTGGATGTATTGTTGGCAAGACGAGACTATGGCTCGATAAAACGCTCAGTTTACAAGAAAATCACATGGAGTGGCTTGTATGAGAACTTCGCGCCGACCAACTACAAGCGTTGCCTGGTCAAGACTCTGTTTAATCGAGCCCGTAGAACATGCAGTACCGACTGTATGAAGTCGGAATAGTTGTTCATCACACAGACATTACGGGCCAATGGATATCCAGAGGCATTCAGTAGATTTCAGTCACCGGAGGGGAAACAAAGAGTAATTGCTGGATCCAAAATGCCGATCTATTCACGACTACCCTTCTAAAGCAATTTGGTGACGGCGCACACGGATGAACACAGCTATTCACCGTAAACTAGATGCTGCTAAACGCTGTTCTATCTGAACAAGCAGAAAGCTGCCGATGCCTCCAAACAAATCTACTTAACCGGTCTCTGTCACAAATCATTACCCTTAACAGTTCGTCCGTAGCTGCGGAAGCGGTTACAGCAGAACAGATCGTTGTCTGAGTAAGCGGATTGGAGAGCATATTCCGATGCGAGTTGCTAAGCTGAGGAGACCGCAAGCAACCGGACATGGAGCAACAGGTAAATTAACGGGTTCATTAGTCACTAGACATCTAATCAATCATCAAGTTGACTCTGGCTCAATTATGGCTATCTACCGAAGCGAAAACGCCAGGGTGCTGAAGTTTGCGGAGGCTGCATCCCTAAATCGTTACTGTCCCACTCTTTGTGTGCAAAAGCAACTGACAGTAGTTCTTAAGCTTTCTCGGGGTACATAATTTTTGCCCCAGCTCAACCATCTGTTGTGTTGTGCCTGCGTGCCTACTTTCTAACCAATTCAAAACGATCAGTTTCTTCTTTCACGTGATCTATGTAGGTTGTTAGTTTGCATGCGACCAGAAAAAGCGAAAAGGTGCCATCTTGCATGCTCGTCTTTGTATTGTCTCGTGTAAAGCGTAATAATTCAGCCGCGCAATAATAATAATAACCGAGTTAAGTGGCGGCGATAGCTGGCACACACAAGCATCCCCATATCAACGGACAGTAGTAGAATGGACGTACAAAAGAGGCCGAATGTTGACCCATGCATTCAGTGACCATTTACCATGGACACATTCGGAACGCAACAACTAGATTCACATCGTTGGGCCAAAGTCGAAATCAAAGGCTCTACTATGACCCTTAAAAAGCTGACATTTTGCCGTAAGGAAGGCTCAGGGTGTTAGGGGATTTAGAGTCGAAAATAAAAAGAGTAGCGTAATATGTGGATCAGAAAGAGATGAAAGAATGTGCTACAAGGTAGTGAGTGCTGCAAAGTAAAAATGAGAAGCCGACATTTTCACATGCATGGTGGTTAATCGATGCACGTCGAATGGACAAAACGAGGAAACTGATGAAGTGGACGTCAGAAAAAAGGCGAGTTCTTGTGCTGAAGACATGCTGGCGAAGCAGACTTTAAATAGGCAATTCGGACAGCTCGGTGAGGCAATGCTGATCGTCGCCAGTTAGCATCAGATTCCTCCATGTCCAGTTCCGATAATGCCAATAAATCTTTTGCTCTGTTATGACTGCTGACAAGAAGACATTTGCTCACAAGCTAAACGGGCAGCGGGTTTGTAGGCAATACAAAGAACAAAACTAAGGGCAAAATGAGTGTAACTACTGTTCACATTAGTGGCTGTTTTGAGTAATGAAGACCAAGAGGACAACTCGAGTCATAGGGGCGACGTTACCGTGATATTCTCACGTGAGGCGGGTTTAGGTTAACTACAATCATGCATTACCTACGATGTGTATGGCAGCGTTGCAGCGCAGTCTGCAAACTTGCTTCACATTGCACCAAAGCGAGATAGACAGCGAGTAAGAATGGTAACCCAATGGACGCAGCATTCAACAGCTAGATTTATGACTGAAATACCTTAGGAATAAAACTACAATACGTCCAGTTCGAAACTAGGTAATTTCAGTAAGATGGGTATATATCAAGTGTGTACCACGGCAATTTTTGTCGAAACAATCAAAGATGGTGCAACAAAAGACATTAAACAATGGAAACACTGGCATGCTAGCATTAAATATCGCAGCAAAATGAAGGATGCCAAGAACGAAAGGAGTAAGCCACGAGCAGACCAAGTGGCTTGGTGGACTTCCAAAAAGCAAAGGAAGTCAAGAGATTTGTGGCACACATGAAGCGAGGCGCGATCAGCCAACGAATAGAGAACGGAAATGAAGGGGGTGTGTGGCTCAGAGAGCAAAAAGGTAGGGAAGATAAAAGGGGGTCACAAAAAGTTTACCTTAATTTGTATCCGTTCGATCTGTACATTCTGTTGATTGATCTCGCTTCCCATATCAATAGCCATGTTTCGTAAATTACCGATCATTCCAGAAACTTCCTGCAAATTGTTATCCATTTCGTCTTCGCGGGCGTCATTAGTGATGCTAGGAATTACAACAGAGCAAAAAGGCAAAAATGAAGATAAAACGCGTGAGTTGATAGAAAAGGTAAAAAGGTGGGTGCGAAAACTGTGAAGAGTTTCCCGTGTTGTTAGCTCTGAACATGGTAAGAAACATAGCTGGCTAGCCAAACAACCTCTCGTGGTACCAGCTGGGTGGTTCGGGTTTACCCCACTCCAGCACATAGATCGGCAGTCATGTCCCAGGACGTGGTGAGTCTTCGCCTGGTAACCGTACTCCCTATAAAAAGCCGCAAATATCTGTTTAACAACTCTGTGACGTGGTGGATGTGGCTCGTCACATATTAAAATCACTGCGCCTTGCTTATCCGGATAAGCGCATCCAATCCAAGGACGTCAATCATCTCTTCACACATTAGTGACGCGATCAGTTAAAAGTTCAGCAGCACAAATACAAACCCAAGCAACACAGCTACATGGTTGGCGGCATCCGGTTTCGGATTTGCCTGTCACTGTGACCAGCCACAGGACGCCTGCGCCTACAGAGGGACCATGGGTGGCTTGCGCTGCACCACCCACAGCTCCAACCACACACCCCATATCCAGTGTAAACCCGAAGGAATAAGACCGGGAGGCATGAGGATGGGAACCACGTTTCATCAACGGAGCTGGCCCACACACCTTCACAGACAAACACAAGCACGCTGTATTTGGGGAATCAAGTGCACACAAGGCGGTGGGTGGACCGTAGTCCGCTCCACACTGATTACATGGAACCACTCTTCCACAAGGACCATGCACCCCGTCCCCTCCAGCAACGACCAACTGTCTCCTGGAGGCAGTATGGACGAGGTAGTGGGTAATAGACAGGTAGGCACCTTTTCATGCACATCAAGCGCAGTCACACCTGGGATGTCAAACAACAGCCAATCACTCAAAATGCCGATATCGATTAAAGTAAACGCATGTGACGACATAAATACTCGCTAAATGAGCATATAGAAGAAATTGGTTATAAGTGAATCCGTGCCAAGTACAAAATGTCCGAGTTATTTAAAACATACCACGCGATACAATTACGCAACTTTACCACAATTTGCATGAGCGACGTGTGCAAGTTGGGAGAAGATTATCAAGTACGCAGAACAAACCAAATAAAGTGGAATGAAATTTAGCCAGCTTAAAAAGACCTAGTTTAAGTGTAAGTTGGTTTAGCCCAATTGCGGTGAAGAAGCATCAAGAATGCAACATCAGCCTCAGTTACATACATGGTTGGCGGCATCCGGTTTCGGATTTGCCTGTCACTGTGGCAAGCCACAGGACGCCTGCGCCGACAGAGGGACCATGGATGGCTTGCGCTGCACCACCCACACACCCATATCCAGTGTAACCCCGAAGGAATAAGACCGGGAGGCATGTGGATGGGAGCCACGTTTCATCAACGGAGCCGGCCCACACTCCTTCACAGGCAAACACAAGCACACTGTATTTGGGAATCAAGCGCATACAAGGCGGTGGCTGGACCGTAGTCCGCTCCACACTGACTGCATGGAACCACTCTGTGATCCTAGCACGGCCACAAGGACCGTGCACCCCGTCCCATCCAGCAACGAGCAACTGTCTCCTGGAGCCAGTATGGACGAGGGACTGGGTAATAGACAGGTAGGCACCTTGTCAACATGCACATCAAGCGTAGCCACACCGGGGATATCAAACAACAGCCAAACACTTGAGAGAGAGAGAGAGAGAAAGAAAAAGAGAAAAACTCGATTAATGCATAAGGAAACGGTGATATAAACCCTAAGTAAATAGCATATGTAATAAGTTGTTTACAAACAGATCCTAGCTAAGTGCACGAGGTCAGGAAGTATAGTTCACGGAATGCCACGAACACAAAAATGTTATGGAAATCGAATACCATTGGCTGAAGCGATGTGTGCAAGTTAGTGGAATAGAGTACAGGGAGATATTTATAGGAGAAAGAAAAGCATTAAGGTAAAAACTGTAAACCCACCACCTGAAATAAAGAGACTTAGCATGCAAGTACGCGATTAGTAAATCGAATTCAGTGTGCCTACAAACGCTGCGCCGCCTCGCCGTAATTCTCTGCAGGACCCGTCGTCGCTTCTGTAGTGGCCCCAAAGGACCTAGCTTATGGCCCACTAGACATTTATATGAGAAAGGTATTAGGAGAGAACCGAAAACCCACCACCTGAAATAAAGAGACTTAGCATGCAAGCATGCGGTTAGTAAATCGAATTCAGCGTGCCTACATACGCTGTGCCGGTGCTGCCTACGTTCACTGCAGAACCCGTCGTCGCTTCGGCAGTGGTCCCGAGTGACCTCTCCCATGGCTCACTAAGCCTGCCTGACTAAGGCACTCGCGACCGCACGTTCTACAGCACAATGCGCTCGATGTCGATGGAGTACAATTCATTGGTGCTTGCCGCTTCCGCAACTGCCGCTTCTTCTCTGCATGCATGAGGGTTTTCTCCCGCACTTCAGCAACTGCCTTCGTGATTAGATCGCGCCATGCACTACGATCAACTGCCTTCGATTCCCATGATCTGCAATCAAGATGAGAACGTGTGAGGCTCACTTTAATCATGTCCTGGTAACGTAACTTGGGTTTCCCAGCATGCCGCTTCCCTATACTCAGCTGACCGTATAAAAGTTGTTTCGGTATTCTCGTCAAATCCATACGGCTCACATGACCGAGCCATCTCAGGTGTCGCAGTAAAAGTATGCCGTCCACTGCATACATCCCACTTCGGCGCAACACTTCCGTGTCTGCAACTCTGGCGCCCCAGCCGATCCGCAAAATTCGTCGCAGACACTGCTGATGGAAACGCTCGAGATATCGCACATCCCGACGGTACATCGTCCACGTTTCACTGTCGTATAGAAGAACGGACAGTACTATGGATTTGTACACCATCAGCTTCGTGCCAATGCTAAGCTGATGGTTGTTCCACACTCGGTACTCAAGCTTCCCGAATGCCGCTGCCGCCTTCGACATGCGATTACGCAACTCAACGTGTAGCTGCTGATCAGTCGACATCACACACCCAAGGTAGCTGAAGCGGGAGGTGGTTTCCAATACTTCAGCACCAACGCTGATTTGCGGCAATATTGAAGATTGCACCTCCGGTGAAGGCTGAAAGAGACAGACAGTTTTGCTTGTGTTGATGGTGAGCCCGAATTTGGCCGCTGTCGAAGCCAGGGCACTAGTCATGTGCTGCAACTCATCCGCGCTGTGTGAAAACAACGCACAGTCGTCAGCAAACAGCAACATACGGATAGTTGTCTCACAGACTAGAGTTCTCGCACCGAAACGACGGATGTTCAGCAACCCACCATCAATACGGTGCTCCACACGAACACCGTAAGCACAAGCCGCATCAAAAGCACAAGACAACATTGCATGAAGATATATATTAAACAAGGCAGGAGCTAACACACAGCCTCGCTTCACACCAGAGACAACTGTAAAGTCATCCGAGGTCTCTCCACTCAGCTGCACCCTCGCTCGCATACCACTGTGCAGACATTCAATTAAACTTACAAATTTACGCGGGCAACCAAACTTACCCAACACCAGCCACAGTGCCTCGCGGTTCACCGTATCAAATGCCTTGGTGAAATCAACAAAAAGCGAGTACAATGGCTGGTGTCGTTCCCTGCACTTCTCTTGCAACTGACGAGCCGCAAACACCATATCTATAGTGCTGCGACCCGAACGGAATCCACATTGCTCTTCCGCCACGTTTGGTTCCACAACCTGACTCACGAGGCGACTGAGCAGGATTTGGGCAATCACCTTGCCCACACAACTCAGCAAGTTGATGCCACGATAATTCGTGCAACATTGCTTGCTACCTTTGCCCTTGTACAGTGGTAGCACAAGGGCATCCTTCAGGTCAGCAGGCACCTCCTCCTAAATCCACACGCGTTGCACCAAGTGGTGCAGCGCAGTCAACAACGCGGGTCCACCGTGTTTCAATACTTCAGGTGGGATCCCGTCACCCCCGGCACACTTGCCGTTTCGCAGCTGAGCAAGTGCTCTCTGCGTCTCATCCAGTCTCGGCGTATCCGCCAGATCCGCCTTCACATCGTGCTGCTTCAGGCCATTCAATGTAGGCCAGTCGATCTCTGAACGGTTGCTCAAGAGACAGTCAAAATGTTTCCGCCAGATCTGCATTATGTCTGCAGTCTGGGTGCAGGTAGCGCCTGAACTACCATCGATCAGTGTCCTCAGCGGCTCCAATCTCGGTCCATACACCGTCTTCAAGGAGTCAAAGAATTCCTTGTGTTGACGGCGTTCGGCGTAGCATTCCATCTGCTTCGCCTTCTCAGTCCACCATGCATTTTTAATGCGACGGAGCTCTCGGGTCAGTCGCCGTCGAAGTTTGCGAAACTGACTACTCTTCCTCAAGTCACTGGGGTCTGCCACATGTGCAGCAAATGCTTGCCTCTTCTCTGACACCAATGCCCCAATCGTCACATTGTTGTTATCAAACCAATCAGGCCGCTTACAGTTTGCGCACCCGATGGTTTCCTCGGCAGCAGCTGTCACCTGGTCGCGAATGTGGTGCCACAAGTCGCCCACTGTGGCTATGCAGTCCACATCACCACACAGGCGTGCAGCCATCGCCTTCTCCAGCTCAGTACGTTTCGCCACAGTACCGAGGGAGAGAATGTTAAATTTACGCCGATTCACGGCGGGAGTGCAATACATAGATTTACGAAAATATATGTACAGTTTGGTCCGAACCAATTTGTGATCAGTGCCACACTCAGCTCCACGCAGTACACGTGTCATGTGCATTTCACGCATATCACGCTGACGTACGATGACATAGTCGAGCAGGTGAGCGTGACCACTCCGTGGGTGCGTCCAAGTTGCTATATCACTCGCACTCAGTGCAAACCGAGTGTTCGTGATCGTCAGGCCGTGAGTGGCACACAGTGAGAGCAGCCTGTCACCGTTCGCATTCGCTGAACCAATGCCATGCGAACCGATAACATCTGTCCACGCTGATGCATCACGCCCAACGCGCGCGTTGAAGTCACAAAGCAGAAATAGTCGGTCGCTCCTCGGCACAGACCGTATCACGGAGGATAGCTCAGTGTAGAACTGATCACGCGTGTCATCAGGATAACACATGGTCGGACCGTACGTGCTTATAAAAGTAGCAAACTTACCACTTCCGAGTCGTAGGCGAACAGTCATCAGTCGCGCGCTGATGCTCGTTGGTTCACCCACCAGCTGGCCATTCAGGCGATCGGAGATTGCAAATCCGACCCCATGTTCACGTGGTGCTGAGGCGACGTTGCCCACCCAGTAGAATGTGTAGCCAGTACCTGCTTCATGTAACTTACCTTGCTCAGCGAGCCGAGTTTCACTGAGCGCCGCAATATCGATGCGGTAGCGCGCCAGCTCCATTGCGACCAGTGCAGTGCGTCGCTCGGGGTGCTCACTCGATTTCCGGTCCAGTAGTGTGCGCACGTTCCAGCACCCGATGCTGAGTGCTTTGCGCGCAGGCATACGATTGCATTGGTGGGCAATCGCACGCGAGGTGGTCATTCTGCTTCGGAGGTTTGCTTGAGGGACTCCACCCGGAGCCTTTGGCTTAATAGCCTGACCCACAAGGCAGTGGGTGGTTTGGAGGTTTGCTTGAGGGACTCCACCCGGAGCCTTTGGCTCAATAGCCTGACCCACAAGGCAGTGGGTGGTTTGGAGGTTTGCTTGAGGGACTCCGCCCGGAGCCTTTGGCTCAATAGCCTGACCCACAAGGCAGTGGGGAGCAGATCCAGCTCGGGAATGTGATTGCAGAGACAGATTGGGATCTGCTTGACGGCCGTCACACGCAGCCTTTGAGATTCTGGAAAAATTATCATACGTTTTGCGACCGTAATTGGATACGCACCTGCGACCACGGCCAGACGCAGGTGGGTTTTTGACGGGTTTGCACCAATTTGACCAGGGGCTGCCTGGCTTGAGGCGGGCAGTAGCAAACCATTGAACACCCGGAGGTGTCCTCCCACCGTCAGAGACAATGCGTGGCACTCGTGCTCTACGCCAATCGAACTGAGAGCTTATAACCCGTAGACCAGTTGTCTCCCATGGCTAGGTTTTACGGGAAGTGGGCCATCGACCACTTCCTAACCTCCGGAGAGGATGGACTAGGATACTGCCAGAGCGCCCAATCCTGACAGGAGAACGACTCGGGTCCTCAGCCAAAGCCTTCGATTAAATGAACACCCGAAAGGCAGCGGGTCTAGCACATGGTCAGTTAGCCGACTCATGCGGATTGGTGTCCTGGATCTTAGCAAGGAGAAGGGCGAAACCTAACTCCCACCCAGCGGTCGCCACGTGGAGGCGCCCAGGACATGAGACTATGGCGCAACAGTAGCAGCAGTGGGTAGACCATCTGTCAGGATCTAGCCACCACCAGCCTCAGCGCACCATATACGACCACATACATATATACACTCAGAAATATACATTAACTACCATAGCCAACATGCAATTTTATACATTTCCCCATAAGTTGTTATCATGATGATGCTTGTAAAGGCGTGCCTTGCGTTGTCGAGAATAAAATATTCATTTATTTATTTTGCGAAAGACAAGTATCGTGTGACCATGGATGGGAGGAGCCTGGACAATGGATCAGAACACTTAGTGTTGGAATGTGCCTCGCACTGTCAAGGAACAGACCGTGCCTTTACACGGAACATAAACCTCGGTCAAAAGCATAGACTATGAAATGAATAATGCTACCAAACGGGTGTTGCGACAAAAGAAACAACAAGAATTGGGAAGACGTCTACCGAGTAATATATCCTCCTGTGGGACCTAAGCCATTCTGATCGACAATGATGCGGGGTCCATCGCCACCACCCCGTACATCCTCATCCTGTAACTGTTTGGTGTAGTCATCCTTCTTTTTGACTCTGAAATGATGGAAAGATACAAACAGATTGGTAGGTATGGAAAGTATGCGAAACATTCAAGGGTAAATACAACCAGGGCAAGTAAAGAAAGAAAGTGATTCTATCAGATTACGCAAACGCGATTAATAGGAAATTCACGTGTGTGCATTGAATATAATTAACATCAACAACAGCAGTATGGCAGTAATGTGAACCGGTGCTTCGCTATCGCACAACCATTATCATTGTTTTATATTATGGAATGATAAATAACAAGAGGGAGACTGGCCTAAAATCCAAACACCTTGAGCAGACACTAAGGATCAAAGCACCCCCACCTAGTAAACAACACATGGCCACAAGCAGCTGCGATTGTGTGAAGACAAGGCGAGTTGAACAGTGACCAGATTATCTGCACACACACAGCGTCGTGTCGGCTGTCTTCTACTTAACGGGGAGTCAGAGTAGTGAATGTCAGCTGTAAAGCGTGCACCCTAATTCTTCGACAATTAGGGTTACTACGTTATTCCTTTGAATGGCTACGCGTAACATGGCAAAGATGATGTATGGTGACATTTGCACAAGATACCGAGCAACACTGGACTTGTATACAGGAGGCAATGATCACTTCCGAACAATCAAGCTGCAGCCTATCTCGACGCCCCTTAAAGGCTTGGGTCTCTGCTCAGACCAGCAGAATCAGATTACAACGGACGGTGTCGCTCTGCCAAGTGTCAGCTCAAGCAAGGATCGCGAGGCTTGGTGGTCAGAGCGTGCTATGGAGATGGAAACCGTTGCCCTTTCTAGCAAAACTTGCAAGCATTGCCAACTCATTCGGCCCAATAGGTATACGATCACCGACCAGCAGAGGGGTTTGGACCGCTGGGCCGAGCGCTTTGATTCGCAATTCCACTGGTCTCCACCGTCCATCTGTGCATACAGTACACCTGGTTTGCGACCCTGGCTCGTCCAAATGGATTTACTCAGCAAAGCGGAATTAGGTTTGGAGATTCGACACTCGAAGAGTTTTAAGGCATCCTGCTCATACGGGCTTCCTGCGGAGCTGTTCAGGTACGGTAGCGTGACAACCATAACACAGCGGACTTCGTTGTTTGCAAAAATCTGGTATGAAGATAATGTGCCTTCCGCTTGCAGCGAATCAACTATTGTCCCGATTTTCCAGAACGGCGCTCGCACCCCCTATGTCAACCATCGAGGGTTTAGTCACATTTCGGTTGCCTCCAAGCTATTGGCATCCATTCTGCTTAGTAGACTATCCCCAACAGGTGAATCATACAACCGTGAAGAGCAAGCTGGTTTCCGACCCGGTCATGGATACGTGGATCACATCTTCATGTTCCGCCAACTCCTCAAACACCGCCACACTTATCACAGGCCCAGCATCGTCGCATTCGCAAACACACGGGCTGCAGTTAACTCAGTTGATCGATCTGCTTTATGGCGTTGCTTGCTAAAGAACGGGGTGCCAGAGAAGTATACCATATCAGTACACAAACTTTGCCTTCATATCTCCGATAGAGCAATGGCCTACGGAAAGCTTTTCACACCAGTCGCTGTCAATATCAGTGTGCGACAGGGCTGCCATATTTCCCATTCGTCTACGACGTCGTAATCGAAGGCATTCTATCTAGAAGGCTTCCAAAATTTTGGCGTAAAGCTTCTACAGGGCAACAGAGCGACCGCCTTAGATTTTGCTAATGATATCGCCTTAATTGGTGACGATCCACAGAGTATGCAACTCACTGAATCGTTGGGCGGTTAAAGCATCTAAGTATGGCATGAGCTTCGCCCCATCGAAGTGTACAATGCTACCCCATATTTGGCATACACCCATTGCCGTGCTCACCCTAGAGGGTGCACAACTTGAATACGTAGATAGTTTCGTTCACCTTGGGAGGTGCGTTTCAGTAGGAAGTATTGTGATCGCATTCCCCTTGAATATCGTCACTAATTTGTGTCGGGTTTGTACAAATTAGGCACAGTGACTCTGGAGGGCCTCAAGAGTAGAGCATGCTGTGAATGCAAGGAACTTTAGGTTTCCGATAGAACTTGATATCCTTTTACAAACACATTGACAACTTAGCTGGCATGTAGATGTGGGCTACTTCGATAGTAACAAGGCAAACACCATGCGATTAAGGAAAGGACAGAACGGAGCTCTGCTCTAAATTTCTGTGCCGTCAGAAGTTCAAAGGTCCGAAACAATCTCTCACACCGTCATCACAGATCCACTGCGAGATGTAACACAGCGACACACAACGTTGGTGGCAAGTTAGATCAATGGTGCAGCCGACGAAAATAAGTGAAAACAGAGGGACAGTGGATTCGAGATGAAAAATACAATGCTATCGGCTAATCAACCAAACCAAAAGGAAGCAGGCGGAAATATCATAAAAGCAGGAAGCGAAAGAGTCAAAGAAATTAGCTAGACGCGCTATATTAAAGATCAGCAAAGTAACAAGGAAGCCCAAACTGGGAGGATAACAAGGCCAATTCACTCAACCGGTTAATTTCGTGGCGGGAATGACAAGAGGACATGTCACAGGCATTCCGATGGTATGAGCTACACAAGGGTGATCCAACCCCTTTAATTTTATCCCCAATGTATAGTCCGGTTGGAGTTCAGTCGCTAGCTTCAAAACGCCCCAACCATCTTCAGTGAACAACAATGCAAAACTGCAAATTAATCATCAAAGCAGATAAAGTAGATTAAGCGCGATTGCAACACGATCCGTTCCAGTGTTGTCAATGCCTGGGTGGTATGTAGTACTGTGTTCCAACGGCGACGGTCAAACAAGAACTCTCCACCATTTTTTATTGAACCCACCTATACTGTGCTTCTGGATATCTCAGTTTTTTTTGAATTTCATGCCAATCATAAAGCGTGCATTATTTACATAGTAAAATGGCTTTTGGGCAAATGACTTAATTGGTGAGGCACATATATTTTGACATCATTGATGGTGTTGGGTTTTTGTTTTGTAACAATCAAGGTGTTGACTGACATTCCTGCACTACCTTGTTTTCCTATAAGTCACTACATGCTAACGTTCATTACGGTAATCATTATGTGGCAATAATCAATCGCGTACGCAAACATAGAAGATAAATAAACTATTATATCTTGACGATGCGATAGACTAATCCCACATAGGGAAAGATCAAAATATTTACAGGTTTTTTTTCATTTAGCCCCCTCTATATATCAGATGGGAGAATATGCATTATCTCAGTTGCACACATGCACGTTGTTCAAGGTGAAGTGCTGGGGTTACATCCTCCGTTTTATCGGATGTCCTGTCGATACAAACCAGCGCGTCTGACCAGAAGACGGAAATGGGACACTGGTGGATGCGCCATGCTTTCAAACTCCCGCTGACGCACAATCCAACTTCAACGATCGATATAACAGACACTAAAACGCCAAATAATAAGGTCACGCGTCCCAGTGATAAATAAATATAAATAAATCTTATTCTCGGCTACGTGAGGCACGCCAATGAGGGCATGATTATTGCAATAGTCAACAACTGAACAAGGAATGTGCAATAGTATAATAGGATTTGCATACATGCGGATCCACAAATGTAGGTAGGTGTGTTGCTTGTGTTTGTAAATGTGTTGCTGTTCTTTTGAATGAGTTCGATCGAGTCGTCAGTGTCTAAAGGAATGTCTGCCGTCTGTGGATTTGATATGATTGTCCGAGTAAGCAAGGGCAATGACTTTAATTAGTGGCGAGTCACGTCCGCCACGTCACAGTGTTGTTATGCAGACATCTGTGACTTGTTGTAGGGGAAAAGCTTGCCAGGCGGAAACCCAGCACGTCATGGAACACTGCCGTCGAACTATTTGCTGGAACGGGTTAAACCCGAACCACCCAGCTGGCACCACGAGGAGTATCGAAGCGTCTGAAGAACGAGGATTCAGTAGCTATAATGTCCGCAATGCCACTAAAAATGTTTACTCGAGAAAGTGCTATACCACAAAGATTCATGCAAAAAGTAATCGTAATGCTACGAAAATATTACTATATTCTCAAAACCGTAACGTGTAACTTTACTGATGAGCAGTTTGTATCCGTGCAATCAACTAATTCGTTGGGTCATCCTAACTGTTAATGCTTTCGCGTCCGCCTAGGACTGTAGGAAAAACCACTTCGGCCTGAAGGTACTCACAAAGAATCTAATGGAGGATTCCACTTTGCGGAGAAAAACCGGTTGACGAAGAAACAATTCGTAGTTGGGAGACGAACAATGATGGGAGTTATATCTCTCGCATCAGCCAAAAGCCTGTTAAAACCCATCCAAAAGTGCTCATTCAGCTACTTAGCGTTAATCGGTGTGATGTGCATACAACAACGGTGGTGAATTAAACTAGCTACGTTCTCTAAAGGTGCCGCTACAGTGTCTTCCACGGAATAGTCGAATAATCGGTACCTCAGCGTCAGTCATAATATGAAGCACTGTATCGTGCATGCTGAGAAATATACTCAACAATCGGTTTCTAAGCAACAATTGAAAATTATACAATAGGTGATCAATGAGGAAGATAAAATAAAAAGAAGACTGATTGATTGGATGGGCCGTATTCAAGTACCCTTTGGGTGAATGGATTGTAGCACGCGAGCTCCAGCCACTGACAGTTATTGCGGAATGAGACCCGTAAGTAGTTTGGGAAGAACGCGACGAAGGTTATATGATTACAACAAGGCGGTTTTCGGCCAATTCAAAAGACAAAAATGAAAGTTGACGACTAAGTTTAACATGACGTCTTCTTCATGCGAAATAGAACTAAACGGAGTACCAAAACCGATCACCGGTGCATTTCAGTCAGGATGAGTTGGTGTAAACAAAAAACGGGTTCTGCAACAGAAGCAGTAGTTCAAGTCAGATATGGTGGCCATTGTGTGGGTCACTACTGGGAGCAATTCAGTTAGCCTCTTGCTCCTGGACCTCTTGATGTTCAAGCGAACAGTGAGTCAGAGCCGGTTAAGCTAGTCACCAACGGAGGATGACGATCGAAATTTGACGACGGTCTTCACTCGTTTTTGCGCTGACGGTCCGGAAACATTACTATCTAGGGATGGTGAGGAAACCCTCTGTCAGTCACAGACCCATTGTTTTAATAGGCATGGAAGGAGGAGACCATCTCAACATCATCATCATCATACCCGTTAGCTAGAGGTGGGGAACACCTCAGCTACTGTGCCGCAATACACAGAAAAAGGAGAGAAAAAAGAATGCAACTGGTGCAAGCCGGCTGAGCTACCGGTAACGGATGGGCATCGTTCCGGTAAGCTACCAGCCGGCTACTGTGCATCAAAAAATTACTATGCAATATTATATAAGGCTAAATAATGAGATCGTGGTTGGAGGGGAGGGGGGAGACCATCTCAACAAGCTGGAGTGAATAGATCATAGCGACGACAAATGAAATAGGCAGTTGCACCGGTAGTGCTGACCACGGGGATACAGTCCTAACGCTGGCAGTGGCAATGGACCTGAATTCGATTTTGTCCGTCGATATACTAAGGAACTGGAATCCCGGATAGGGGGAGAGCATGCCGATTCCCGTCCGGAACAGGATTCAACAGATTATACTCACACTGCTACAGGTGCACGAACAACATCACGCATACATCACGTCATCTATAGCTATGGTTCCTAAGTTCAAAGTTACGTTCAACTTAGTCGATCTCCCCATCCTGTTCGAAATAGTTTCACGAAAGAGAATTATCAAATACATGATCATACCACACGTCTGTCAATAGAAACCTACATGTCGCATCACAGTCTACGGTGAATTGGAAGACATCTTTCCGACAATAAGAGGCGTTCGCCAGGGATGTCCGATTCCAGCTACTTGATGGATGACAGTTGCGAACCGGCACAGTCAACCTTGGAAAAGTTCTCTGAAGTGGTCCCATTAGACGACAAGCTTCGCAACTGAAAGACGCTGTTGTAGGACCAAAAGATGTTCGATAACGGTTCGCCTCACGATGACGAGGGGCTGATCGACGCACCTAGCTTTGAACCAGCATTAGCAATGGCGAGCACGTGACTGTTCGAATAAGCTAAATTATAGCGAAAGCAAGAAATGCATTATTGAAGCTACGACATCTATGGAGCAAGGTGATTTGCTTCGGTCTGGGAGGCCACAGTGAGCCATTTTGTTCTATGGAAGCGGAACTTCACCCCTTTGATCTGAGGATCTGGAGAGGTCTCATGTCACCGAGCAACGTTGCCTGTGGAGTATTGTCGGTTTCCGATGGCAATGGCATGCGCACAAGGATGATGTGCACAGGCGAGAACTAGGCGGAGCTAGTCAGCTTAGTTCGAGAGAGCCACAAATAAAATGGAATAAGACGCTATAGCATAGGTGGATGCGAAGTATGCCAACTCACCATTTGTCGAAAAAAGCTTATTTTGTTTGCCGGATGTAGGATGGCAAAACGCTAGAGGCTAGCGGTGAAAGTTGATTTGTCAGTGGGAAATAAGATGGTTGATAACCAAACTGTTTGTTCTTGGTCCAGTTCATCTTGCAGGAAGGATCCCAGAGGCTCACTCTGCGCTTGGCTCGAAACTTCACAGGACATGGTTTGCAGTCGGCACCAGATGCGTGTTCACTGCCACTACTTAGTATAAGTGTTGCTGGTCGATACGGGACACTTGTCTCAGACCTCGTATGCGCTCGGCCAATGCTTAATCTTCGCGTCTCGGTGGTGTGCTCGACTTCGAAAGTGTGTGATCGTCAATTGCAATGTGGATTCACAAAGAAGAAATATCAGTTTGAATTGTAACATCACCTATTGCTGATCAACGAGCTGGATGAACTGAACGTTAAATGGAATGGCCTGAAATGTGCGATGAAAAAATAACTCGAGAGACTGGAGCAGTTGGACAGTAGATGGACGTCTGGAACCTTGATAAGCCTAACTGCAGCACAAATAATAGTCCGGTTACGATGTGGGCTTCAAAATGTCTGCAATACTCTGAGACGTTAGACTGTCTACAAGTGACCGTGTGTTGGTGGATGATGAGGTTCCGTGAGATGAGGAAAGTCAGCACGATTGGGAATAGTAGAGTGCTATTTCGACTCATTCCACATATTAGCCCAAGAAAGTTGCCGGTGTGGTTTCTGAGAAGAATGGACAGCTGATGCATTCAGCCACATCGATCAAAAAGCGGGTTTGAATATATCCAAAGGAAATACTGGCGGATCGGTTTAGCCTAACCCATCTGGGGTGCTGAAGCAACAAACTCTTGAAAAAGTAGCGATAAAAAACAAAAACGGAAAACAGGAAAAGCAATGTAGGTTCCGGCATAAAAGTGTAGCGTCATCAACACCAATGTATCAAAACCAAAAATTAACAAATATGAAGAGCAACTCAAAGCAAACGTGTAACACAAACAACCACGGTCAGAATGGCTGTGCTCTACGTACATCGCACGGATATAACAAATAAGTGGAGCCTTTGTGCAAAACTGCGCTTACTTGTTCCAAGGCAGAACACATAATCCGCAGCACTTGTTTAAGTCGTCCAGGTTTTTCTCCGCGTCTTTCATATCTTGATTGATCTGGTCCATGCCTTCGTTAATGCGATCAAGTTGTTCTGTGTAGAAAATAAGTGAACGTGAGAAGGAATGTATGAATATGGTTAAAAACAAAGACGGGATCACAGACAACGAAGGTTAACACATTGTGGAATGTTTACAAACAAAATGTGTACTTTATTGTAGGCGGAAAGAAATGTCACTGACAGTGGACAAAAGCTCCTGCTCCTCTTGGAACTGGCGTCTGATAGAATAACATGAGAACCACGTAAGTGCTCCGGTGTCAATTGAATACGAAAAGAAAATAGACAGATCATGCAAAGAGAGACATCAGAGTAGTGAAATGAAATCGGTTAATCTACATGGCCACGAACAACACCAACAGCCTTACCCCCTTGGTCGTCTAGCATGACCAAGGTCGATATGCCCGCCTCTTTGGCCTAAAAATAATACAGATAAATGTACAGAGCAGGTGCGACTTGTTCGTGTTTGTCAACCACCCCCGAGAGGTGATCGTGGCTTACCTCTTCACACATGGCCATCATGCGTCGCGAAGCCTCCAGTGACTACAATGAAACAAAAAAAGTGAGATGGGTTTAACATGGTAGAAAGCAAGACGAAAAATGGCATTTTAACTGAACACATCCGACGCTGGTAACAGATGACAGGTATTTATTATTCAAGGTGTTTGGTTAACAATCATAAGAGGAACGCTGTCCAATCGAGACGCGCGGTCTTCATTAGTTAATCATTCACAGTCTCGGAACTATGGGCCATCCGGCCAAATTCTGCTTGCTAACCTGCTAATTCATTAATGTATCCAACGAAACGAGACTACATACACACAGTGCTGAATATGAGTGAGAAGTAACCGAACTGACTAGTGCACTGGCAGATGAACCGAGCTAATAATAACCAAAAATACCGTAAGGTGTGAAGTGTAAAGCGAACTAATCAAAATGCGAGAAGACAAAAATCATTGGGCGCTACGTACTCACAACTAGTTACGAGTTCAACACCGAGGTTCGAGCACAATGAGAATTTAAACCCGCAGCTAACTGAGCGGTGAACGCATCCTAGCTCCGATAGAATGAAAGTGGGGGTTCGGTAAATGTGACTGTGTAGTACGTCAGTGAAGCTGTTCAATTAGGGCATGAGGGGTTAGAAGAGCAACGAACAACGATCGGTAACCCTACACATTGGAACAAATCATCAAATGGACAAATGGGTTCGTTCCATTCCCTATGAACGGCCTACAAACAGCGACAGGAATTGGGCTGGTGTGTGACCTACGCACGCCAACAAGACGTCTTCAATATACACAGGTTCACGCAGCGGAACTTACAACGTAATAGAGGAGCCCAGCACACATGAGGTTAAATAAGTCATTGCAACACATTTGAACCAGTTGAAAACCCGTGGTGGTTCACAAGCGCTTCTACTAGGTATTCCAAGTCTGCGGATTCAGAAAAAACGTATAGCTATTAGGTAATTCGTTGGGCGAAAATTTAGAGGAATATGGCGAGCTTGTTGTACAGCAAGCGGAAATAGAATGTCTTGCCAATAGTTGTAAACTCAGCTCTACGGAAGCCATTAAGGGGTACTAAGGCTCTTAGTTTTGATAGGGTCCAAAAAGGGAGAAGCTCAATACCTATGCACACAGGTAGTTAATAGTGCATGATGGGATAAAAGAAATTGTTTGACGAAGGATTCCTTTATGTATTGCGGCACATTAGCTGAGGTGTTTCCCACCTCTAGCTGACGTGTATAATGATGATGATGATGATGGGGTAAAAGGCAGAACATTACAAGACCCACCGGGTGGCAAATGCAAAAGAAAATTAGAATGTTCCGAGGTAGAAGTATCAGTTAATTACATCCACAGCGCTTTCAAATTCCTCCTTAAGGAAATCATGTTTCTACACAAATGTCTCAAGATGGACCTTAACGCTATCACGTTGCATCCGATGGGCGCGAACACCCCTAAATGCTAATGTTCATTGAGTGACCAATCCTAAATCAGAAAATAACATCCCACACTATGTACTAACCTATTCTACTATCGGCTGGTTTGGGATCAAACCCCCAATGTACAGTACAAATTTTAAGAGCGTTTGCTGCAACTTGATAGTCTTGAGGACCATATTGAGAGATCTATGGAGAAACGTGGTCGGCCCGTAGCCTAGAGGTAGCGAGCTTGTCTCGTGATCTTGCGGCATGGGTTCGAATTCGCGTAGGGGTGGGCGTCCTCGCGGTATACTTAGCCCGCGTGCGACAGATGGTGGTCGCAGAGCAGCGAAGCGCCGTAACGGCGTACAGCGGACACATTATTTTTTATTACTTTTATTATGGAGAAATGTGACTTCCCAAAGGAGGAATTTGTAGGCGCTATGGATGCAATTGGCTGAGAAAAGGTATAAACAATGCACTTTATCATACTGTTGTGTAGCGTTTATCACTTAGATGAAATTTCATGCAGCCGTTTCCCTTCAGAAATTGCAAGAGAGCAAGAACGAACAGCACCTGTACTTGCGGTAGCATGTACATTAGCCGAACCGAGAGAAGACTATCAACTAGGATCATGGAACATGTCCCACGGAACCTGGCAAATAGTGAACCTAAACTCCCTGCCAGCTCCATCGCTCAGCATCTGCTCGATTGTACCTTGTGCGAAAACCCACGTGACGCATTCAAGGTTATCAGCAGACAAAACAACGCGAGCTTGCTTCGTTTCGCTGAAGCCTCGGCCATCCGACGAATGAAACCAAACCTTTGCAAACAGGTAGATTTTGTGGCCAGTCTTGCCTTGCCCTGGTAAGACGCACGCAATGATCTTGGTTTGCTCAGTGTTTTACTCATTTTCCTATTGACCCCCTTTTTCGATTGCATTCCTTTACTCTTTCCACGATTTGTCTGTAAGCGGCTGAATGAGAAGACATGAAATAATCTGAATTCAGGTTATCCCGCATAAATGCTGTTCGTTCTTGCTCTCTTGAAACTTAGATGAAAGCCTGTCTTTCGAATGTCGCGAGGTTTGGCGTGTTCATCACAGCTGTTGGCAATGCATTCCAATGTAAACACACTATGAGGGTTTGAAAAAACTGCAATCCAAACGAGTGGTTACTATTTTCAGTTGGTGGTCTCGACAGTGTTTGTAAATGGCTGGAGTCAACAGTGATTGACATGGATGACCGTTTTCTGTTAATATCCAGTATGTACAAATGAGATCTCCGCGAAATCATCGGTATTCTGAAAAGAACACACCGGTTAAAGGAAGGCGCATTTCATAACAGACCGGATAGTACCTGTGTTGCCTTGGCCGCTCTTCATTGGGGCTGCTCCAAGAGGCGAATGTCACCTTTTAACTATGGACGCTAGGCCTGAACCACATACTCAATATGGGGGCGAATATGCGAGCTAATCAGTGGGGATATTAGCCGTTGCTCAAAGGTACGCAGAGCACGCTTCAAAAGTCTTAAGTTCAAGTTCGCCATGTTAACTGCTCTCGAAAATTGGAGCGAATTACCCACATTTTCTTGGACAACGATACCCAATTCTCTTCCCCTAGTCACGTGTTGTTCCAGAACATGTGTTGCTGCTGTGCAGCGTCGGCAAGTGGCATTTTGCAGGGTTCAGAGGGAGCTGGTTCATTTCGACCTGGTTGTAAATCCGATTGAGATTGTTCTGGAGATGAACAACGGTCGGATGTTGAGCGAATAACTCTCCAGGTCTTAGCAAGATCTGAAAATATTTGCATCGGGAATTGGATAGTTGCTGTTTCTTCGGTAACATTCAGTTAGAAGTGAGAAGAAAAGCAGATAGCCAACGATGAGTCGCAATGTACGAAATCGCGGTGACTCCTGGGCTCATGATTCAGTAACAGGTATCGAGCTTGCGATTGTACTGGGGAGCATTGCGTATTTTCAGTGTAGCGAGGCAGACGATAGTCAAGAACAGTGAGATTATGGGAATATCAGTCAACAGCTAGATTGGTCTATCAGAATACCCTACAGAGTGTGCTAAATCGTCCAGCTAATACGAATTGAGGTCCGTTAGTAGAACAGTGTCTGACAATAACTCAGAGAATATCTGAGTATGTCCAACACACAGGCAGTGGCAACCAGCACACTGGAGAAGTGAGATATCAGTGCGTCAGACAATTCATAAGACATGAAAACTTAGTGTAGCTAGGTGAGATGATGTAGGTCTAACAGTCTTGCGCGATGATCAATCTGATTGGTGTTCCCAAAAGATTCGCAAAATGCTTCGCTGATAACGTCGGCGGTGAACGACAACCTTTCTGTGCTGTCGATCCTTGCAATGACACTGGTCACAATACTGTGATGCACAATTTTCTCGTCACAGACAAACCAATAGTCTATGGTTTTCACAAACGATTAGGTGTAAAAACCAAATCAACATAATCGGTTACGCAACAATCTCTACCACGGGCGACGTAACCACTGAGAGAAGTGAACCAAAGATTACTAATACTTCTATAGTGAGTATTAGTCAGAACTACTAGGCTGTTAGTCATGTCCTGAAAGCATTTGAGGGAAGCGGATATCGAAACGTGTACTTTTAAACCAACATATCTTATTCCAAAAGGTCGGGTTTTAACCCCCTATATAATGGTCGTATACACAATCATGTAAACCGGAATCTTGATGAACAGATGAAGAACGAATGAGTGCGGATAAACATCCTTTATACTCAGTTCGGAGGGGAGCTTCGCGCAGATACTAATTCAGTTCGCTCTTTATTGAGAGCGTACTCGTTGGGAGATAGAGGAGTTCGGGCAATTCTGGCTATGCGGACTGAATCGCGCAACCTAAGGTGGACGATGAGATAAAAAATAGTATCAGCAACGCGCCGATAAGACGAACTCATTTTCGAGTCAGATAAGCGCCAACAGCTGCAAGCGAGTCTGAACGTTGCTAGATCACCTGAATGAGCGTGGAAAATAACGGCGATGCAGAACATTAGCAGCTGACATAGTCAAGAGTTGGAAAAGGCACTTGGTTGTCTAGAATAAATGGGTAGTTGTGGAAGCCCGGGTGAAGCCATGACAACTGAGGTTGAAACAACAATCATGATAAGAATAGTAAGCAAGATGTCAAATCGGATGATCATAGATGTGTGATAGTGTCGGTAGGTCCCGTTGTCAGAGTCTTGGACAGTCGCACTTATTTGACTAGGGCACCTGAAAAACCCGTCGTGTAAGATAGCGTCATCTAGTTTGGTAGAATGAGATAAACATGTAAATCTGGAGTTGACAAAATTCAAATGGTCTCACACAAGTATGAAAGCAAACAAGATGCGCTGGACTGTGCCAAGTAGATCTGTGCATCATTATCATCATCATCAATACACGTTAGTTGAGGGTGAGAAACACGCCTCAGCTAATGTGAAGCAATACAAAAAGGTAAGATACAAAACAGTATACTATAAAAAATTCAAAAGCAGATAATAGAATGGTAAATATTATAATGCGCACTTAGTATGAGATCGGGATTGGAGGGGGAATCTAAAAGGGAGGGGATGGACAAAGAAAGTCACAACACAA